CAAACAGTGTTTCTTTGCTATTTATAAGGTTTTCCCTGGCCAATTATTTGAGAAGTGGATGGCCTCTTCCTTCTTCCTAGTCTGTCTCAGTCTGTAAGCTGGGATGATACCTGTGTACCACATGCATCCCACTGAGTTTGAAACACCAGTGGCTCAGCCTCAAAACTCATCAACACATCACCACGGTAGGACAAACCGACAGACAAGTTTGCCTCCCTGTTGGAAACCTCTCATACCACCCTTACCTGGGTCCCTGCAGCTGACACCCTCAGTAGCCATTCCCATACATATTCTCCAGGCTTCTGTCCATACATGCTAGCAAAATCAAGTAGGTCTTTTTGGGTGATATAAAATGTTATTAACATTCAACATAGTGCCATCTATATAATAGGAATATTAATGTTTGTTAAGCAAATAAATTAAATAATTAAATAATTCATTCAATGAAAAGCAACTCTTTGGGAATAAAATTAATGGTTTTTTTCTTGGATTTTTCTTCAGTCTCCAAAATGAACTAGCTGCTTATAACCAGACCTATCTTCTTATGCATTGTTTAAAGGACCAAAGGTATAACCCTAATGATCATGAAGGTGGTACAGGACAGGGCACCATTTCAATCTGTTATACAAAAGGTTGCCACAAGTCAGAACAGATTCAACTGCAACTAACAACAATAACAAAGGCAAAACAGATGTTTTAAATTTTATTATTCAAAATCACAAAAGAGAAAACTTAAGCTCACCTCCTCTTCCTCTTTCATGTGAGGAAGGAAATCTCTAGTAAAAGCCTCCAATCTCTCTTTCAGCTGTTTTGCATAATTTAACTGCTCGTATTCATTCTGGAAACAAACAAAAAAAAAGGTTTGTACTTTAAGAAGAGTTTTGTTTCATCATTTATATTGTACCTCATCATAGGAAGTCAGTTTAAAATGCAACATAAAATCTCAGGAAAAAATAGACTGACAGACAGCAAAGTGGTCTCTATTAGCTTCTAAGTATGAAAGATGTCCTTAAATAGTAAGCTTTGAAATTCTTTAGTAATGTGATCTCATATTTCTTTTTAAATTTTCAGAAAAATGTGCATGTGTTCAAAATTTCTATTGATTTCTGATTTATTTATATAATTTCTACATGTGTCTTCTTAATATATCTCAGAGCAGTCCATAAGAGCATATTGGTTTCTCTTGTTCTTGTTATGTGCTGTCAGACCTGACTCACAGTGACCCCTCCCTGGGTTTCTGAGGTGGTATCACTATGGAAGTAGAATACTCAACCTTCCTTCCAAGGAGTGGCTGCTGGGTTTGAACTTCCAGCCTTCTGGTTAACATTCAGTGCCTTAGGCACTACGCTATCATAGCTCCAGGCATATACTCCAAGCAGCCCTGGTGATATAATGATTAAGTGATCAGCTGCTAACTGAAAGTTTGGTGGTTGAACTCACCAGCTGCTCTGTGGGAGAAAAGATGTGGCAGTCTGCTCCCATTAAGATTACGGCCTTGGAAACGCTATAGGGCACTTCTACTCTGTCCTATGTGGTCACTATGAGTCCCAATCAGCTTGATGACAACTCATTTTTGGCTATAATGCATAAGTATAATTAAGAATAAACTATATCATCATAAACTACACTAAAAAATATCTTTAATTTTATATGACACAATTAAATATAATCCTGTTTAACTATTCCTGTTCATCACTACAAGAAGGAAAAACAAAATACAGTAAACACAGCTGGCATTCAATTTTAAAATAAATAAAATTAAATTGAAATATTCATTTATTCTAAGTAACAAGTTTACGTTAATGATCTGTTAACTGCATTTATAACTTTCCTTTAATAGTTTTAATAAATGTTATCAGAATGTAACAATTTTATGATAATTAAATTTTAACTCATTAAAATCAACTCTACAATTTGGGGAGCAGCATTCATTATATAATTGTATTGCACTAATAAAGAGGCAATGCCATTTACTATAAAATGCTAACAAATGTGGCCAGTGATCTATCAGAATACAGCAGAAATTTTGCCAGTTACATGATCATTTTTGCAACTCACCTTCACGTTCTTCAGGCCCTTTTCAAACAGGCTAAGCATCTCTGAGAGTTTATTGTCAGAATGTACATTATAAATGGTCTGGCTGCGTTGCTGAAGCAAACCAATGATGTATTCATTTTCAATCTGCTCATGCATTTTGAACTCGTTAAAAGTAGCATACAGAGACTGAAGAAGAGCACGAAAATCATTGTTGTTGGAAAAGTTGGTTTTAGAAAGCTGAAGAAAAATTTCAAAAAGCATAGTAAATATATGCAAACAGCACCAATAAGAAATATTCAAAGTAATTCCTAATATTTTTCCACATAGCAAAATACCTCCCCCATACGCTTGGCAAAACTCCAAGCAAGTACAAATAAAGTCCATAAATTGACAAGGTATCAAAGCATGTAAGAGAAAGTACACTAGGCCAAGAAGATGTTAGTTTGCATTCAAATGAGCTTGATGCTACAGACAAGTAAAGCAGGCATAACAAATTACATGTTGTTGTTGTTGTTGTTAGGTGCTGTGGACTCAGCTCAACTCACAGCAACCTCAAGCACAACAAAAGAAAACACTGCCCAGTCCTGGGCCATCCTCACAATCTTTGCTATGCTTGAACCCATGATCACAAACACTGTGTCAAACCAGCCCGTTGAGGGTCTTCCCCTTTTTTACTGACCCTCCACTCTACCAAGCATGATATCCTCCAAGGAATGGTCCCTTCTGACAATATAACCAAAGTAAGTGAGACAAAGTCTGGCCATTCATCCTTACTTCTAAGGAGCATTCCAGCTGTATTTCTTCCAAGATACATTTGTTCACTCTTCTGGCAGCCTATTGTATTTTGAGTGTTATTCACTGACACAACTCCAAGGCATCAATTCTTTTGCAGTCTTCCTTATTCACTGTCCAGCTTTCACAAGCAGGAGGTGACTGAAAATACCATAGCCTGGTTTAGGTGCATCTCAGTCTTCAAACTGACATGTTTGCTCTTAAACACTTTAAAGAAGTCTTTTACAGTAGCTATGTCCAGTGCAACACCTCGTCTTATTTCTGGACTGCTGTTTCCATGAGCGTTGATTGTGGAGCCAAGTAATGAAATCCCTGACGACTTCAAACTTTTCTCCATCTATGGTGATGGTGCTTATTGTTCCCGCTGTGAAGATTTTTTATTTATGTTGAGTTGTAATCCATATGTAAGGCTGTAGTCTTTTATCTTCATCAGTAAGCGTGCTTCAAGTCATTTTCACTTTCAGGAAGCAATGTTGTGTCATCTACATATCACAGGTTGCTAATGAGTCTTCCTGCAATCCGGAAGCCATGTTCTTCACACAGAGCTCAACTTCTTAGATTACTGGCTCAGCATACAGACTGAATAAGTATGGTGAAAGAATACAACCCTGACGCACACCCTTCCTGATTTTAAACTATTCCGTCAATTCCTGGAGACTTTTCCCCCCACACCACCAATTACTTCACTGCAGCTTGGACTTCTTCCTTCAATATCATCAGTTCTTGAAATTATGCTACCTCTTGAAATGGCTGAACATTTGGTACAATGACTGTGTATTCCTTCCATCTCTTCTTTTGATGTTTCCTCCATCGTTCAATTATTTTGCTCATAGAATCCTTCAATACTGCAACTCAAGGCCTGAATTTTTTCTTTAGTTCTTTCAGCTTGAGAAATGCCAAGCATTTTCTTTCCTTTTGGTTTTGTACTTCTGTTGTTGTTGTTGTTATGTGCCGTCGAGTCAGACCCGACTCATAGCGACCCCGCCTTGGGTTTCCAAGGCAGTATCATCATTACGAAAGTAGATTGCCCAACCTTCCTTCTGAGGAGTGGCTGGTGGGTTTGAACTGCCAGCCTTCTGGTTAGCAGTCAAGTGCCTTAGGCACTATGCTACCAGAGCTCTTGCTGTTGTTGTTGTTGTTGTTATGTGCCGTCAAGTCGGCCCCGACTCATAGCGACCCCTCCTTGGGTTTCCGAGGCAGTATCACTACGGAAGTAGGATTGCCCAACCTTCCTTCCGAGGAGTGGCTGGTGGGTTTGAACCGCCAGCCTTTGCAAATCACAAATCACATAGTCACTCTATATAAAAAGCTTTAGCCCAAGCCATCTAGAAATCTCCATTTCCATTACTCTATATGTAAACTAAAAGGAGCTCTGGTGGCACAGGGATTAAACATTTGGCTGCTAGCCAAAAGGCCAGAGGTTCAAATCCACTAGCTGCTCTTTGGGACTAAGAGAAGGCAGTCTACTTCCATAAAGATTTACAGCCTTGGAAACCCTACGGGGCAGTTCTAATCTGCCCTACAGGGTTACTATGAGACAGAATCAACTAGATGGCAGTGGGTTTAGGTTTTGGTGTATGTAATCTAAAGAAGCTCTGGTGGCAGTGGCTCAAACAGTTAAGTTCTGGGCTGCTAACTGAAAGGCGGGCTGATCAAACCCACTGTGTGGATCCTCAGGAAAATGGCCCAGCGATCTGCTCCCAAAAAGATCACAGCCAAGAATCTACTGTGTCACAAGGTCATTATAATTCAAAATTTACTCAACAGCACCTAATAACAACAACATGTGTATACTAAATAGACAAACACCATAAAGAAATTTTGTTCGTAGATTGTTAGGTGTCATTCAGTCAGTTCCAACTAACAGGGATCCTATGTACAACAAAACACAACACTACCCAGTCTTGCACCATCCTCACAGTCTTTGCTCTGCTTGAGCCCACTGCTGTACTATGTTAATTCATCTCGTTGAGTGTCTTCCCCTTTTGTGCTGACCCTCTACTCTACCAAGAATGAAATCCTTCTCCAGAGACTGGCCCTTTCTGATAACACAACCAAGGCAGGTGAGATGGAGTCTGGCCATTCTCCCTTCAAGGAGCATTCTGGCTATACTTCTTCCAAGACAGATTTGTTTGTTCTTCTGGCAGTCCACGGTATTTTCAATTTTCTTCGCCAATGCCATAATTCAAATATATCAATTCTTCAGTCTTCCTTATTCATTGTCCAGCTTTCACATGCACAGAAGGCTACTGAAAACATCATGGCTTAAGTGAGCTGCACCTTAGCCTTCTTAGTATACATATGTTAGTCTAACTACGTATGTAGGCTAAATAGACCAGCACACCATGAAGAAATAGGCAAAATTAAAACAGGTGTTTAAGTCTACATCCCACTTTGGTGAGTAGCAACCAGGGTCTTAAAAGCTTGCAAGCAGCCATCTAAGATGCACCAATTGTTGTCTCCTACTCTGGAGCAAAGAAGAAAAAGAAAAAAGAGACATATGCAAAAGAATTAGTCTAAGGAACTAGTGGACCATGTGAACCTCAGACAACATGATCCTTAGACCAGAAAAACTGTATGACGTTGCTCAGCTACCACTGTTAATCACTTGGAAAGGGATCAGTGTAGGAAATCCTGGATAGAATGGGACAAAAATGTGGAACAAAATTCAAAATTACAAAAAAGCCCAGGCTTACTGATCTGATAGAAAATGGTAAAACCCGAGAGCATGCCCCCCCCAGTCACCCTTCAGGCCTGGAAATTAACTCACTCCTGTGGCTTCCAGCCAAGCAACAGACAGGTATACAAGGATGAACATTTACACCAGGTGGGTACACTCCTTAAAACAATCAACCACAGAAGATCAGAAGGATTGCATCTGCACAGCAAGACAGCTAAGAGGGAAAAAATGCATGAGAAAGAAGGATGCAGGGAAAAGGTAGTCACAGGGAGGCAGTGAGAAGAGGATTGTTACATTCTGGGGACTGTAATCAATGTCATGAAACAAAATGTGTATGAACTGTTGTATGGAAAATGAACTTGCTCTATAAACTTTCACCCAAATCACAGTAAGAAATAAATAATAAAAATAAAAAAGGTATATGAGTATAATGTGATAAATTTTTGTCATTTATTCAAATATTATTACACTACTTTTAAATTTTAAAAATTCAAAAACATTCTATTACAGATTGTTTAAACTTAAATATTTAAATATTAAGATGAATCTGACCTGTTCGGAAAATACACCCACCCCTCACTTGTTGACATGTTGGTTCCAAATACCAACTCATTATGCAGAAGTAGGCAAGATGTGAAAATAGAGGGTGACCACATCAAGATTACAAAGTGGAGGACAACCACATCATTACGTAACTGCCTAATCACTGAAAATTATGGCCTAGCCAAGTTAACACGTAACTTTAACCATCACAGCCAGCACTACTCGCCTCCCATCTCAGCATCTGTTGCTGACAGATGTACATTGTTAATGCACAAAATAGTCAGACAGTAGATTTTTTACTTGTGTCATAAATGTGAATAACAAGATATAGCTGATGAATTAAAAACAGTAGTTATTAAGAGAATTTTAGGGAAACATTTTTTTTTTTCTTTGCAGTCACTAGGTAGTACAGTTAATGTGCTTGGATACAATCAAAAGGTTGGAATTATGAGATCACAGAGAGGGCATCTTCGAAGGAAGACCGGGTGATCTACCTCCAAATAATCAGCCATTGAAAACTCTGCCGAACACAGTTCTACTCTGACACACATGAAGTCCGCATGAGTCTGAGTCAATTTAACAGCAAGTGGTATTTAATAATTTTCGTAAAAAGAAAATCAGAGTTAAACATTTAACAACTTATGTAAGAACTGTATACTTTTCTTGGCTGGTGGAATTGACATGGGGGAATGTGTAAACCTAGTACAACAGTCCCTGAGAAAGTAAATGCACTTGAAGGAAAGATACAAATCAATGAAAAAATAAACACAAATACTGTGGTTTCTTTAATTCTACTCTTCAACAACAAAAAAATGATTTCTGATGCTATTTTCAGTTTTTATACTTAATGGCAAATCAAGTTCCTTTAATTAAAGGATACACATTATCAAGAAACTGAATCCAAATTAAAGTTCAAAAAAAAATTCTGACTAACAAAAAAGACCCAACCACTCCATTAGAAATATTAAACATATCCTTTCTTTTATCAATTCAGTTTCAAAATTTATTTTAAAAGGAAAAATCTGATAGGGCTAAATAAAATAGGTAAGGAAATGGGAAGGTGATTAGTAGCACTGTTACTTCCTAGACTTGCCTTGTAAAGTATCATCTAGTATTTCTAAGGGAGTCAGTCAGCCGCACCTAACAACAACAGTATTTCTAAAACGGAGCAGAGCCTAAATTGTCTTATTTTGCCTGTCCTCAGCAGTAATTGTAGTCTGAT